TAATAATAATAATAATAATAATAATAATAATTATTATTATTATTATTATTATTAGCAGCAGCAAATATGATCTATAATCCCACTCAAGCATATCCATGTATATGCTCTTCTTACTAGAGCGAATTAATGGAAAGTCAATACAAACTTGTCTCTTATCCTGATTACAGGGAAGTCTCGTTCAGAGGAAAAGTTCTGTCACTTGCAGTTACCCTTGTGACTACACAGCCCGAAGTGTAAGACCGGACGTTAGCCTCGCTGTATATCTCTTCGTGAGCGTGAATTAAAAAAAAAAATATGAGTTAACTGAAGTGAAAGTAAGATTCCCGAAAGCTTCTGCTAGCGACGTCACGCTTCGACAAAGTGCCCCGTGTTACTCATCCAAGTCTTATTATGCGTTGCGAAAACTAGAATTCAGTATTTTCGTTTGGACTGAAAGTAGGGCATCTAAAAAAAAAAGAAAGAGAAAAAAAAGAAAACATGAATATCGAAATAAAATGGCAGGAAATAACACCGACGTCATGGACCCCCTGCTTGTAGGAAACCCCAGTGACTCGCCGTAGCTTAAAGCAGGTGATGGGAGGCAGACAGACCCTCTTCCGCCGGACACTGGCTCTTACAGGAGACGTTACAGGACACGTACTGTTAGCCCTGTGTGAAGGCTGTAATTCTAATGTCAATTATCTTGTCTTGATTTTCTTTAACGCTCTGTCCTTCGTTGCCCTCGACTTCAGATGACTCATAAGAAGGCGAATAGATTTATTCTAATTAATGTCGCCTCGGGTTTATTTCAACTGTCGTACTCACCAAAGGACCTTTGTTATTATTTGCATTTTTTTTTTCTAACAGACAACTCATAATCATAAGACCGGAGGTATTTCTTTGTCCCATACCCTATCTTTACTCAGTAGTTTTCAGTTGCTTGAGAAGCAAATACCTTACAAAAAAAAAACAGTGGCGTAGATAGAGGAAGTTTTCTGCGGAAAACCCCCCTCTAGAGCTAAACTGCCATTTGGTCGGAAAATTGCTAATCTTGTCGGAAAATAATCATGAAAAAAAAACAAAATCCTTTTTTTTTTGTCGGAAAATCTGCAGTTCTCGCCCCCCTTATAAAATTTCCTATCTACGCCACTGAAAAAACAGCAATGATTCAGCATTGTGTCCTGCTTCAAACACCACGTCAAGTGGCATTTGATTCCTATTGTCCGCTGTCACCTGCCCACCTGACCAAAACTTCTTAAAATAAACATTATCAAATCCGGTTTCTTACGAAACTTCTTAAACCACAGTCTTATCAAAAAAGTTATATCATAATATTGTTCTTTATGCAAACCACTTTTCATAAAACTGATAAACATTTTTCGCATCTTTAAATCTGCCAATGCCAGCTCATCCAGTAAACTGTATTGTGCTTCGCTCAGAGTTAGCTTGTTGCTTCTCTATTACATAACAATATAAAATCTGACATACTGTTCACATCAGCGGATGTAATCATAAGAGGCTTATGAAAGAACATAGCTAAAGCACACTCTGTTATCATTGGCATTCATCATACGAATACTAACTTCCATCGATATATCACCGGCAACTTTACCTCATGTCGTAAGTGGCTGTATCTGGATAATAAACTGTACGATTGCAACAGATGGTAGACTCAGCTACAGCCTAGGATCTAAGCGTTCGAAAATATGCCTCTTTCCTTAAATAAGATACATCTTTTAACTGTCTGTATGTCATGTTATAATGTATATTGTTTACATATAGGTTTGTTCATGACCATCAAAATAACGAACGATTCCTAGAAAGATTTGACAACAAGAACCATTCTGTTAAGTACTCATTTAGGGACTTTTTCTACGGAAGGAAATCGAGACGCCAAGGCACAGTCACGAGAATGTATGAATGGAATCATCTTTTTTTTAATACACAGGAAACTGGTATTACATCATATTCTTCCGAAATTGGTATTGTTTTTGCCAACCTAATATGACCTTGTGAAAATTTACTAACATGTGTTGGATTAGTAGCTTAATGAAAATGTCCATTGGTTTACCGATATACCGATTAAACTATATTAGACTTTATTGAAAAAAGAATAAAAAAAACACATCAAGGTCTTTTTCCAATAATCAAAACGATTTCAAGCCCAATGGATTAACGTTCCCTTCGAAATCCAAAGAAAACATCTACCTCCGTAATTACATCTAAAAGCCAGTGAAGGACCAGTGCCAAGGAGGGTCATCTGTGGTAAAACCCAAAGTGGTCGGCGTCTCTGTTGTGGAGAGGCCGTACCATGAAGTCTCGTGACGTCATCTCTGGCTAGCCAATCCTCTACCTGCACAGATGCACCGGACAATTCTAATCTATTTCTAAGGACAAGAGTGACATGTAATCTATGTTAATGTAGTGAACCGCCTGTATACGTCCCCCACGATCCCCTACATATGCCTTTCGTCTCTCCCATTACGAGATGAAGGACGGCGTCCACCCTCGCTCCGCCGCC